TAAAAGGTGTATAGTGTAACACGGCGTGTTGGAATGATGATTACAAATAATTTCAAAAGAGAGATCTTGTTGAAGCCATCAAAGTGCGTCGCCGTTTACAAATCGAGACATTTGATTGGCGCCATTTGCTTCCGCACAATTGATGCGCTGTTGCTGAAAAGAAAGAAAACCAAAATGCTGTGCTGCAATGGCCAACAATTTCTTTTGTTTTCAATTGTTGCAATTGTACAGCCGCCGCCTGGGATCTTTCACAAAATTTACGCAGTCTGAGGTAAGGTTTAAAATGCTTGTCATACGCACCGCATACGCATTCCAGTCGGATTGGAATAAACTGGAATGATGCGGCACAAAGCGAGAGAGTGAGCGAGAGAGAGACATAACAAAACGCAGTAAAAACACAACGCAGATGAACAGTTATTCAACGAGAGGCAGATGAGCGGCGTATGCAGGTGTTTGTGTTTAGTTAACGGATAAAGAGTGGCTGGCACAAAGACTTATAAAATGCTTAGCAGCATGCATAATTTTTATCGCTCAGAGACCATAAATCTTATGGCTTTTGCATTATCTTGCGACATTTGGGATGCGTCTGCAAGATTTTTTAAGTTTTATTTGTGCCACAGCAGCCGTCCCCCACACCCTTCTGCTGTACCCCCAATGGGTTTTTCTTTTTTCGCATAGTACTCGTAATTATGTTGTTGACGCTAATGATGCAGCTCATCATCGGCGTCGCCGTCGAAGCTGCCATTCGCGTTAACTGATTATGCAACAGCTTCACACAAAGCAGCAGCAACAGCAACAGCAGCTACTGCAGCAGCTTCTTCTTCCACTTTTCCACTTTTCTTTTGTATGGCTGTAAAGCCGAACAAAATTGTTGAGTGCGTCGCATTTCCAAAGGGCTTTACAGATTGCCGCTCTGTGATTTTTCTCCTGAACTAAGAGCAGTTTTGAAAAGCTTGTTCTTAAGTATTTTGATAAACTAAACTGCCTTTTTTTAAACTTTAATTTAAAACTTTGGAAATATGAAATTGTGAAGAATTTTTTGCTTATATTTTGATTTCATAAGAATTTAAAAAGATATTAATTAAATTATGCCACTATTATATTATATTTAATGACGTTCACTATAAGGAGTCCAAAATATAAGGTAGAGGACAGATTTGAATAACAATATACAAAATATTTTGTTTGTCTTATATTTATCCAACTACACAGTCGCACCTTTATATAGCGAAAGCCATATCTGAATTTAGTATATCATCGGACACCTTTTATTCAATCACGACTTGCTGAACTCTGAACTTTACTTAAACAAGTACATATATAACAATTACATTCCACATTATGACATATCGCTAACCAGAAAGCTAATCTATTTAAATAGAGTTCAAGACCTCGTGGCTTCGCGTTCAATGACTTGCGTAGCATCCGTTTCTGCTAAAAAGAAGTACCTACATTCATATATACTTTTTCACACAAAGCATATCTCTTTGAAGATTTTCTTCGGTTTTCGACATAAAAGTTTCCCTCACTAGTGGTTGTTGCTGTTTTTTGACAAATTGCACAGCTGGTGAAAACATCAATCAATCAGTCATCAATCAAGTGCCCATAAGCATTGGCACTGTAATCAGCCAGCCAAACATCTCGGACCCTGCCCGAGCTCCCAGACTCAATGAGCTCTCTTAACCGAAAGGGCTCCGTAATAATTTGGCGTCATATTTCATGGGGCATGGAGCACGTTACAAACATGTTAATTTCACGGCTCACACATGCAAAGCGGCTTTCGTTTCTCCACTCCGACTGCCCCGCCCAGCTCAGTCTCATGAATGGGCGCTGCGCATGCGCCTAGCACTTTATACCTGGGCCGAACAGGTGTAACCGTGCTGTCAGTTGCGGTGCTTGTCACATGCCAACACGAGACCCGCATTAGCGCTGCAATGTGGTTTGTAGTGGTGCGGCTGTTGCTACTGGCCGAAGGTGTCAATTGTGCGCGACAATCGGAGAAGTGTTGGTGTCTCTTGAAATGAAGCGATTGATCGAAGCATCAATCAAACCAGTGGCCATGCTCCAACAGCCATAAGACAATTAATCTTCAAATTTTTTTGGATTGTCTATTCGAGTGAAATTGGTTTTAATGATTGGCAGCTGGGATTTTCATGAGGTCGAACGAATTAGCCATTTGTCTGGCTGCATATAAACGTTTTTTTTATCTTAAGTATCTGCTTCTATATATTTTTTATTTAATTTCTAATCCGTATTATTTATTGTTCATTTGCAGTGTGCTGGAATGTTGATGGATCTTCGTGAGTAAAAGTAAGTTTTTGTTTACTTTTGATTTCTTTTGTAAATATTTTCTAATTGCTAACAAAGTGCTTAATTAATGTATATAATTACCCCTGGAAGGTACCTAAATGCTGCGGGGCTATTAAGGGAATGCCAGAAGTGAATTAAATTATTTCATTGAATACCATTTTTATTCACTGAAATCTCTTTTATCTTAGTGCCAAGACGATGGATGGGTTTGATTATATACTCGTACTCTATGTAGTTAGAAAGGCATCCAATATGTATCTCGTTTATTGTAAACTCTTTCACAGTCCGTTCAATCGATTTCGCTTTTCAAATCTTCACGAAGGTCAACAAATAAAGTTAGGTTAGGTCGCCAAGTGCCGCAATGAAAACGCACAACTTTCCTAACCTCACTTTTCTTTTGCTAATGTGTGAAGTGTATCTGTGTGTGTGTGTGTGTGTGTGTGTGTGTGTGTGTGTGTGTGTGTGTGTGTGTGTGAGTCTATAACATTTACCTAATAACTAAAGTCGATAAATAACATAATATCTATTTGGACAACAAAGAAAGTAATGCCCAGCCCAAAGAGGTGTTTTTTTTCCTTCTTTCTATTTCTTGTTGATTACGAAAGCGTTGCATATTAGAGCTGTCATATCAAATGAGCATTATGCTAATGAATAAAGATCGGCTATTAAGATTGGAACGTGTACATACATGTAGAAGAAACCGAGGCAAGGGAAGAAGTGAAAACGAGTTTGGGAGAAACAGTTTTTCTTAGTCCACATTTGGGGCGTGGAGGCATAATGTTATAACTGTCAGTTACACGACTCTTTAGCTTCAACTAATTTGTTAATAAGTCATAATTGATTTCACATCACATGTCGGCAATAAAAAAACAAGTAAGAAGACTCTAGTCGAGACTGCTCGACTAGGAGATACCCTGAACCCTCCA